GCCACAGCGTGGCTTGATGAGTGGTGCATGGGTCCGCGCCCGGGATCCGAATCCTCGAACCCTGGGCCGCCAAAGCAGAGTGCACGAACTTAACCACTATGCCACTGGGCCAGCCCTTCATATTTTTTAAAGCAAAGAAAATAAGACTTTGAATAAAGTAGAAGTCCTACATTCTCCTTCTCAGTCCCGTTCCCTTCCTCTCCTCCCCAGAGGCAGCTATAATTATAAATTCACACATATCTGTCCAATCTGTGGTTTTAAATCACACATCACAGATACTTATTACATATATGTATGTGTGTGTGAAAATGTAGGTAAGAGAGTGTGTGTGTGAAAATGTAGGTAAGAGACATGATTCCGAACATACTTGTTGGTTACTTGCTTTTTGCATTCAGTGTTGTTTTTGAGATTTACCCATGTTGATGCATGTTAATCTAGATGATTCATTCAAACCACTATTTGTATTCCATTCGATAAATACCACTTTTTGTTCTTGTGAAATCTGTCCTCCAGATGATGGACAGCGGGTGGTATGTTTTTTCTGTATTGTTAGCAGTGGGGCGTAAATGACGTTTCTCTCTCCTTGTGGACAGTGCCAGAGCTTCTCCAGGGTCCCAACCCCATTCAAACACATCTGCTCTTTTAAACGTTTTCTATTTGTCCTATTCTAGTTCCCTTGTATTTTGAAAATGTTTATTCATATTTGTGATATAAAAAGTAGTGACAGCAGCAGATCTAACTGGGGCTCATTTATGTTCCTCTGTGGCTGTTTTAGCAGCTCTAACCTGGTCTGCTTTTAAGTCATTGATGGCTCTGTTGCAGGATTTTTTAACAATTATTACGTTAAACTTATTATTATTAAACTACCACTTATTCATCTTTTCATGTGATCTATATAGTTCATCATATCTTTTTTTATTGAGGTCACGTTGGTTTATAGCATTATATAAATTTCAGGTGTACATCATTATATTTCGACTTCTGTATAGACTGCATCGTGTTCACCACCAATAGTCTAGTTTCTCCCCGTTACTGTACACATGTGCCCCTTTACCCCTTTCACTCTCCTCCCACCCTCTTCCCCTCTGGTAACCACTAATCTGTTCTTATCTGTGTGTTTATCTTCCACGTATGAGTGAAGTCATACAGTGTTTGTCTTTCTCTGCCTGACTTACTTCACGTAGCATCATATCCACAAGGTCCATCCATGTTGTCACAAGTGGCATAATTTTGTCTTTTCTCATGGCTGAGCAGTATTCCATTGTGTGTATATACCACATCTTTATCCATTCATCTATTGATGGGCCATCATATTTTTTAGTTGCAGTCTTAGTATTGTGGGTTTGATTACAAAGCCTTTGCTTTTGGAAACATTTTCAGCCATTGCAAGGCACCATATCCATCAACAACCTGAAACCCGTTGTTTCTGGTCGGGGAGGATTCTCTTTAGTTTGCATTACATTCCTGGGGATACGTGTACTGGTTGAATAGAATTACACAAGACACAGGTGAGTGAGAGTCTGGATGTTCTTACTCTTTACTCATTAGATGGTTACATCGCTTTAGCCCCTGGAGCACAGCGGCCCAAGACCAGCACGTTTGAGTCAGAGCTCTCTAAGACCTCATGGGTGCCAAAAAGGGAACATTGAGACTAGCAGCATGAACTTGATTACAAAATGTGGCCTACCTACCCGAAGCTGGGTGTCTCCTTGCCTGTGCCCACTCCCCCCGCCTCAGCCAGAGCTCGGGGACTTCTGGGAAGCATATCCTGTGCCTCGGGGCTGAGGGCTTGAGGGGAGGAGCCCTGGAGGCTAAGGTGCTGGTGGCCCCAGGAAGGAGTGAGTCTCCAGCCTGCAGGGATGTCACCACCCCTCCCTGAGGAGGAATTTTCTCTCCCGCATTGCCCTTGCAGGATCTGAGGCTGATTTTGTTCAGGAGCTAGGTGAATTCCGCACACAGGGCGTTGGTGCCTGCCCACACGTGTGGGTGGGCTTGTCATCATCAGTGAGCGCTCATCAGGTAAACCACCGAGTGCCTGGCACCAAGAGTTTCCGCAGAGGGTGTTTCGCTCCTTCTTGAGACACTGACGAGGGCAGAGAGGGTGGCCGTGGACAGAATTCCTTTCAATTGTATGAGTTTATATAAAAGAATTCCTGTGGCTGATAAGAGCCTTTTGAGGGTAGGTGCAGTCATGCTCTCTGAATACAGCAGAGTATTTGCTGTTATTGACTGCAGATTAGTCGGATTAAAACAGGGAGAGAAAGGGCCCACAGGAGAGGGCAGCGAAGGAATGTGTTTGTGAGAAATTTTCTCTGAATCTCAGTGACGTCCATAAACCCTTCCTGTCCCAGAGCGGCGTGCTTCGAAAGCAGGGCTGGAGGCGATGCCCCCAAAGGTTAATTAGTGTCACACTGAGATGTTATGACATGCCCTAGCTTCCTTCCATAGATTCCACCCCTCTGCAAAGCGTGACCTCAGGATGCAGTTTCAAGCCATCCACATTGCTTTCATTTTTTCATATTTACACTATGGGCAGTGACTCTGTTTCTCGAGATTTGAGTATATGTGCCTTATGTAAAGACAGTAGTTTGGTGATGCAGTATTTAAACGTTTATCTTTTTGTACTTTTCAAGATATTATGTCATTCTTATAGCAGAATTATGAGAGCTATATTTAGCTCTTCAATTGAGAGAATTAACAATACTTTTCTTTTTCTTCTTACCAGGCTATCTTTGAAGTCATATCCTCTGAACATTCGTATCTACTCAGCTTAGAGATCTTGATACGAATGTTTAAGAATTCTAAGGAACTGAGTGACACGATGACCAAGACAGAGAGTCACCATCTCTTCTCCAACATCACGGACGTCTGTGAGGCCAGCAGAAAGTGAGTCCCTTCCGCTGCCTTTGGCCGTGCCAGGAAGTTGCTTCCTCACGATCGTCTGCACTTTCTCAGAAGGAAGGAGTTTGGAGGCGTGAAGTCTCTCCTTCATTCCTTTGGTTTTTATCTTATTCCTTGAAGTAAAGGTGAAGATGTGGTTTGGGGTGTTGACATGTAGAGAGATGCTGAGTGTATGATTAGTTGTCACGGCAGACAGTTAACCCCAAGGTCTCTTCCTGCCTTCTCTCCCCGCTTCTCACTCTCTCCCTTTATGAATTATGCCAATAATACGAGAACATTTAGTTGGGAGGGGAAAAAAGTAACTCACAATCATACCATTCAAATACAAAAATTATCTTTGTTTATATTTTCCTATTCTTTTCTTTGTTCATATATGTAAACATTATTTTAAAAATACAGTCATAGTGACTGTAATGATTTCTATAGTTTTCCCTATTTAACATTCCGTAAGCACTGTTAGAAGAGTCTTCATTGTTACTGTTTTTCACGAGAGCAAGAAGCTCAGTCTGTGCACCGTGGTGCCTCTTAGATCCTCCGAGTGACCAGCACAGTCTGCGCTGGAGCCCGGTGCCAGCAGGGGACTGAACAGAGCCATCCAGAGTTGCCATTAGGTCAAAATGGATTGAATGTTGGCCATTTTATGAGATTGGGTCAGAGGTGGGTTTACTGACAGCTAGTGAAGGTTAAGCTTCAAGGCTCCTCGCTTGCAAGGGCACCTTTTACATATTTGCTTTCATGCCGAATTTTTTCTTAGAGGGCCTACAAATTGTATGGCTTTAGGGCCCACAGAAACTGGGTCTGTCCCTGGGTGAGTGTTCCTTGTGAATCTGGACGTTGCTCACCTGTCACCTCAGGGCACAGCTGGGTAGACAGCGATGATTCCACTTTCCTGTCTGCTGGCTCCCTCACTGTATCCAAGATGGAACATCTGTGCTGAACAGGTTAGCGTGTGAGTGGGGCCGCTTCAGAGAGATGGGGTTTGTGGTCAGATCACTGGGATCCCCAAATAGTTCATGACGGTGGCAGAGCCTCAGGAGCCAGATCTCCCACAAGAGAAGGTCCTGGCAATCTTGTTACTGATGTGGATTCTTAGAAGCTCGTGTGCGAGGACCCACTGGGCCCGCGGGGACAGTGGACCTGTGGTGCGGGTGTGGACGGGCACAGCAGCTTGGAATCCTTTCAGAAGCTGGGTGCTGCTGGGGTTTAGTCCGTCAGTGCTTTTGGAACCAGTCTTGCCAGTTTTGGTGAAGACAAATGAAAATCTCTTTCCCCCTTCAGCGAAAAGGGCAGAACAAGAGCTGTAGATGGTCTAGACGTCTGTGTTCGAAAGGTATTCAGATTTCAAAATGAGAGACGTTCATTGTAACTTGTACGTTGGTTGAACTATGAGAACAAAGCTCCATGTTAGATGTGTGGCTATGAAGAATTACTGGTGTTTTGATAACTGTAAGATGTACGTCATGGTTTTAATTACTGGAATATGTTTTCTGAAAACCACAGTGATATGTTTTTATTCCTCTGTGGAATCACGCTGTGAATCATGTGGCCGTCAGTCAGCTTCCCACAGGGTATGAATGACTCCAGAGATAGCTTTTTGTAAACTCTGACTGTTGAGAAACAGCAGTTCTCGACCAGAGATGCTCCCAGTCCTTCGAGTCTTGGGCCTCGTCAGCACTGCTTGCACATCTGCGTGGTTCAGAAGGAGCCAGGACTCCCGCCTCTTCTCCTCGGTAGTTGGATAACCTTGAGCAGGTTGCTAAACCTCTCTGGTCTGTTTCTTGTCTATAAAGTGGGGATAAAAATATCCATAATTGGTTAATCCTGAAATCAGTCATTACATTTGTTATAGATTAAAATTTCATTATTTTAATTTCAATTATTTATAGAATGTAAATCTTTCATGATTTTATTAAAAAGTTTTCATTTCTATTGTAGCTTATAGTAAAAGGCTATTCTGGACATTTTTGTCTGTTTTTCATTTTTAAAACAAAACTCAGAAACTTCTCAGCCTCCATTAAAAGATAAAGACCGAAATATTGTTATCCTTTACGTTTTTGTTTTGTTTTTCCTTGAAATGCAGTGTTTTAATTTGGATAGCTGCCTGTGTGGTATCTGATCTCTGTTATGTTTCAGCTAAGAATGGTCAGCTTCCGCATGATAATCCTGTGTCTGCATCATAGTAACTCACATTACAAAACTTTATTTGATTTAGTTTGAAACACGCATTTCAGAGACAGCTTTTTAAAATTCAAAGTGCTGAGAAGGTTTGCAAAGCCCACTTCATTCTGTAACGCCTGTTGTTGACTGTCCAGCAACTCTCCAGGGACAGCCTCCTAGCCTGCTACCCGGGACAGAGTTTCCAGTCCTAAGAAAAGTTGTAGTGTAAAATCTCGAGTAAAGCACATGATGGGTGTCTGAATTAGTTCTTACTGACGACGCGTGGCCTTGTTAAGTGTGGCGTGATCGAGACTGTCGTCCCTGTTAGACTGTCACCTGATGAAACTGTAGCTGTGGGAGCTGGGTGTTTACTGTCAGCTGAGGTCAGGATGCTCGACATTCAGCTTAATGTGATGGTCCATCCCAGTCGTGGTGGCTCAGGTTCTTCACTCTCCCGTAAACCACACCGGGAAGCCTTCTGTGTGAGATGGCGTCATGCGGAAACAGACAGGCAGGAACAAGATCATTCTGTCTGGGCGTGTGTGTATCAGTGACATGTCCCTGTGAAGTCCTTTCCTTCTTTATAAAGAATTGTTCCTTTCAGTCCACTCCTGCGGGACCCTGTGTTCTGTAGGATGCCTGGTTTCTAGAGCATTTCAACTGGTGGCATCTGCCCAGTGGCTCTTGGTCCTCAGGGGCCAGTGGTGGCCTGTGGAACGTCCCCAGCGATGAGGATGAGAGCAGATGGTGAGGCCTCTGAGTGCCGCGGAGGAGTTTTCCCTGCGTGCTGAGGCTGTGTGGGAACGTCGAGCGATGAAGCAGCGGCTGCCTGATGGCTGGGAAGTGGCCGTGTGGTGTCTGCATCAGAGAGGAGGTGAGGTGGTGAGAGACTTGAGGCCATGGCAGCAGTACAGCCAGAGGTGACGGGCCTGGAAGAGGAGGGGCTGTGGGATGTTCAGAACATAGCGTCCTGAGGACTTGGTGAGAAATGGGCAGGAGTTTTGTTTGCCTCCCAGGTTTCTGCCAGGTTGACTGGGTGGGGGGTGAATCAGCCAGGATATGAGAGTATTGGGTTGGGGTCAGCGAGGGGGACGAGGAATTCAGTTGGGGCAAGTTGGAAGTGACTGTGGAGCGTGAGTGATACTGTCTAGTTGGAAGGAGAAGAGCAGGTGAGAACTCCAGAGAATCTCGACTAGAGCCCTGGATTTGAGTCCTCTAGCTGGTTCTCAACACTGTGGGTTTAATGAGATACTGGAGTGTGTGCAGTTTTTAAGTGGCGGTGGTGCTGCTGGTGCTCACCTCCTCGGGGCACTTGGAAATGTATTTCTGGTTGCCCCAGTGACTTGGGGACTCTCCTGGCATTAGTACGTGGGGGCCAGAGGTGCCAGGCACTCTTCGATTGGTGGGACTGTCCTGGACAGGCAGGAAGTGTCCACCCACATGCCATGGGTGCCCTCCTGGAGACGCAGGGCTGGAGTCAAAGGAGAGAAAGCCGAGGTCAGGATTCTGGCACAGAGACGTTGAGGGGCCTGTGGGGGGACAGGAGTGAAGTGCGGAGGATGAGAGCTTCGAGGACCCTTCTCAAGCCCCTGGGCCGTGGAAGGCCTGCCTCTCTCGGGGCCTTCCTTTGACCCTCTCCCTCAGGACCGGGCCTGTTTGATTTGTACCCTCCTTAGGGTGGGTGTGGGGTTAGCTGGACTCCCTCCCAGTCCTGAAGACTGCCGCTCTTTCCTTTTTCTTGGGATGGTTAGAGGTAGTCCTTTAAGTCTCAGCAGGACCCGCCCGCCTTTGGGTCGGGGCCGGGGCAGAACCCTTGACCTCCCGACTCTGGGCCTCCTCCTCCACCTGCACTGTGGTGGCTTCCTCCTACTCACGCTCCTGAAGTCTCCCTGGACTCCCTGGACTCGTGATCTCCCGTCTTTAAGACCAAAGACATCCTAAAAGCCGGATGTTCCCGTGGAAAAGGAGTGTCAGGTACCATTTGTTTAGAAATGAAGAGACTTAATTCATAATTAAACGCCACACATACTGCATGTGTATTTCTGTGTATCCTTTCCTTAGTCTTGTTTTGTTCTGCCTTCACCTATCTATGTTCATTTAGAATCAACTATAGATAATTGCTGTATTAATAAAGACCTACAAGAATGATTAATTTACATTAGTTTGCAACAGAATATGATCTAATTCCAATTTTTTTTTAATTTAAGCTGTGTTGATGGTAAAAGATGGTTACTATCAGGAAAGAAATTGCCTTTTGTATAGGACTGAGTATTAACCCCGCTGCTGTGTTAGAAACAGGAAGGTCTAAGTAAGGTCTTTTGTGTTAAAATGAATGCTGCAAAATGAAAACTAGATGAGCCTTTGTGTTGATGTTTTATAAAATGATGTGTTTTTACTTTCAATTCTGAGTTTTCATTCTAACAATCTAGTTATGCTAACAGTATTTCATTTACATTTTTTTCAGTGGTAGAGTGTACTGTTATTTGTAACCTATAAAAATATGCTGCTGGGCCAGCCTGGTGGCGTAGTGGTTAAGTTTGGCGTGCTCCACTTTGGGGGCCTGGGGTTCGTGGGTTCGGATCCTGGGCATGGACCTACACCACTTGTCAAGCCATGCTGAGGCGGTGACCCACATGCAAAATAGAGGAAGCTGGGCACAGATGTTAGCTCAGGGTGAATCTTCCTCAGCAAAAAAAAGAAATGCTGCTAAAGAACTTCGCGAGATGCTTGTTTTCCTTTTTCCCGTTACAAAGTTCAAGCGTTGGCATTTCTTTGGGAAGTAATTTAAAGCTAAAACTATGCTGTCTTCAATTTCTGCAGAGTAAAAT